CATGCATGGGTACTTGTCATCTTTTTCTTCATAAAAATCCCATTTCACCTCAAACAATTAAGCGTTTAGTCATCATTTTTTGTAATAAAATATTTCAGGTGCATGGCAATGGCTGCTATAATACTGATACAGAGCACACCAGAACCCAGAAAATAGAGTCGGACATGCAAGAACTTGTTCGATTAGTGCTGCAAAATTCCTCAGGTGATGTCAGCTCAGATATGAAGCAAACATTTCTTACAGTGGCACGAAGTTTTTACTATGCTGCACACTGTGACTTGGAAACGATCACATTTCACATTGCTAAAGTACTCTTTGAGAAAGTACGCTGATCAATCCTTTTTTTTAAAGGTTGATGTGATAATTCTATCTTGAGCATAAATTGCATTTATGTGTAAAGCCAAGTTGGAAAAGAAAATATGATCAATTAGATCTGATTTCAAGGCCACAGAAAAATGAAGCAAATCTTTTTAGTTTTGAAGTAAAGCAAATAGATAATGATAAAAGCAATGGCTCACAGATGTATACATGCCATTGACAAGATCCACGGTTTGTCGAATTATACAAAATATTTGTCATAAAAGTTGGCGATTAATGAAATGACAATACCAAAATGAAAATTTTTATCATTGCAAAATCCAAAAAATGAATAATTTGATCAGCATAGATGATTATAAAATTCCAAAAAGAAAAATCTGATTTCAATAATATTGGCACAGCAAATCCATAAATTTTGCCAAATAAAGCATGTTTAGATGTCTCCCTCTCCAACCACCAAAATCAATTTCTGATATAACTCCAGGATGAATGAGGTTAAAAGAGATTAATACAAAACTTTGCATAATTTATGGTCTTTGTGATCCCCTATATCTAGGTACCTTTGAGATCAAGACCTCAATTATGAGAACAAAAGCATATGTTTCAACCTCCAACTAATCCAACTCAAAGCTAGTGAAAATGGAAATTCAGTTTTACCTTTGAAAGAATACTTAAGACAAAAGAAACCCAAATCATTGTTCCTAGGAACCAAGATATTTAAGCTTAGGAGACAAAGGAATCACACCTTTTTTACTGATGGCTTTCAAAATGACCAATTGGCAAGTCCACAAGAAAACAACAGAGATTTGCACAAATTTAGATAGTGGATACATGGAGTTAACCACAATAAATTGTTTCACCTCCTTGAGCTTTGTTTGATATAATGCCTTCCCCTACAGTATACCACAGATGGCAGACAGCATGAGATATGAACACATGGCAAGGTCGGTGCTACTTTCAAACATGTGGTGGAAGGAACTTCAAAAATCCCGCAATCCTAGAATAGTTTGATGTATCTGAATTGGAATTTGTAATCAGAATCCTCCCCACCTTCGATTGCTTTTTCGCACATTTTAGTAATAGTAATGCTATAACTACATTTTGGTTTGTCTACATCTAGGTGTCAATATGAACATTTGGTGCTGCGACTTCTTGATTTATTGTCACTCAGTTGTTGGAAATAATGATGATACATAAACAGGTTGTGAGCTTGATCTTTTGGTAATGCAAGCTTTAGTTGCTGCATATAGTGATATCACTCAATTTCGGTATAAAAAAAAGTTTAAAATCTTATTGGAGATTAAAAATTGGATTGATTGAACATGTTATATTTCTTTGGCTTCCACTACTATAAAAAGGTTTTGATTGAACTTGTAAATCTCTTCAGATCAAGCAAATTGCTTGACTAAACATTATCTAATTACCAGTCACATCTTTCTTCTCACAAGAGAAGCTTTCACTTTCAACTTAATTTAAAAGAGGTAATACTATTTTTTTTTTTTTTATTGTGACAGAAGGTTCTTGAAATTTGTTCAATAAATTATTTTTTGGGTCAACAACTCCGCAATCAACTTTTTTTTTTTTTTAAAATACACTCTTCTAAACATTCGAATCAACCGTGATTATACTATTTCCTAGTAAAGTACTCCAGGCAATTATTGAGGAATATCAATCGAAACAGAGTAGCCAAGGTGAAGCAAATGTGCATGGAGTACACATTTTAGATTGTCTCGCATTTTCCACTATGCTGAAAGAAACTTCTTAACAACTTGGGGGGCACAAAATAGGTGCAGGACCACATGATGAGTATCAAAGGGATTGCAAACCCCACAGCCAGAATCCAAATCAAATAATTTGTACGGAGCAGATGTAGCACCTGGAATTGACAATGGGCAGCTCAAATGAAGGAATCAGGATCCTAAAACAGGACAGGTCTACGATTAGAAATGCACACAAATCCCTTACGCATCAACTTTTCAGTGTTTGGCATTTGTGTAATAATGAAAAAGAAAAAAATTGTTAAGCAAAACGTCTCTATCCAATCAAGTTAGTGAAAATAAAATCGAACAATCAATTAATCACACAAAAAACAATAATTTTACGTGATTTGATCCAACTGATAAATGTTTACGGATGAGAAAAAAGATCTACTAGTTATAAAGAATTACAAACATACAAATAAATCATGCATTCATAATTAATATCCCTAGACCCTCTCAATCTCCTTTAATCTTATAAAATATTCTCAATCTAAATATACACATATCTATATGCACCCTTTTAATACAAACAAATACATATCAATATATACTTATACATCATACCTATATGGACCCTTCGAATTTTCTCTAATCGAGTCCCATGTACTATACCTATATAGACTCTCTTAATTTCCTCTAATCCACTCATAAATATTCAAATATCACACTTATAAGATGTAAATCTCTAATAGTCTTATGGGATGTTTATCTTATAAAATCCTATAACTCTCTTACATCTTTTTTTATATCTAACCCTATAGAGACTTCACATATTCATAAGCATATAAATTTACCTATTAAGAATCTATTTCATCTTAAAATTTCTCTTTTACAAGTTTTTTTGTTCATCAAGTAATATCTAACAAATTCCAAATAAATTTCTTATGAGATTTGAGTTATTATTCTCAACAATCTCCACCTCGACTCAAATTTCATCAAATCATCTATTTTCATACTAGATATGCTCGACTCTACTGTAATGAAAATCTCGTAACAATCTTCTCTATATGTCTTCATGCTTTATGCAAACCAATTTATCAAAGCATTAACTCAAACTTTTTCTTGAATTGAGCTCTTCTAAGCTTTCTTCTTCTCTTGTCTTGAACCATACTTTGATACTTGTCAGGGATCACTGCAGCTTTTATACCACTTGTTAGGCAAAAAACATCTATCCAATTAAACCAACGGAAGTAAAATCGAATAATCAATTAATCACACAAGAGATAACAAGTTAACGTGGTTTGATCAAACTAACCTACGTCTATGGATGAAAAAAAAGATTCACTAATTGTAGAGAATTATAAATATACATTCAAATTATGTACTTACAATTAATAACCATAGACCCTCTCTATTTCTTTTAGTTTTATAAAATATTCTTAACTCACACATACACATATCACTATGCATCCTTTTAACACAAACAAATGCATAACCGTATGCACCTATGCATCATATCTATATAAACTCTTTTAATTTCTTCTAGTCCACTCACATGCACTATCCATCGCAGTCTCTTCTAGTCTACTCATCCACTCATAAACATTTAAACATACACATTCATAAAATATAAATCTTCAATAATTTTATAATATGTTTATCTTATAAAATCTTATAATTCTCTTATATTTTTTTCTCATACTTAGTCTTATAAAAACTCTATCTATTTATCAGCATATAAATTTATTTATTAAAATTTTTTTTCACTTAAAATTTGTTTTTTTGCAAGTCTTAAGCATATTAGCTTTTTTATTAAAAAATTTTTTCCTCTTAAAATTTCATTTTTATAAATTTTTTTATCATCAAATAATATTTAATTAATTTTAAATAAATCTCTTAGGAATTATTCCGCCTTGGCCATGTTGGCTAGAAGACAAAGATACGGAGAATTTCGATGGGTGGAAAACAAATAAAAAGCAAGAAGCGATACAAGCAGAAATGAGTGACGGAGAACCCTCGTTTGGACGAAAAAGCCATATTAGAAATGATCCACCAATATGTGATCCGCTGCTTTGTGACTGGTTCATAATTCTTATTCGATCGGAAAGAGGGCACGTGAGAACCCTGATCTTGCTTGTTTCTTTGTTGTCCAAGCGGCGAACAAGCAGATGAGACGGGACCCATCTCGCTAAGAACAAAAAAGTTATGGCGAACTTCTTACTGGGTCCTCCCACCATTGTTGCCCCAATTTGGACCTCAAAAATAAATCATTTCCTTTGGATAAATATAGGCAGGTAATTTAACTTTTCGTCCTGTCAAACTTTTTTCATGTTTGGCAACTATACCAATCTTACTAGAATAACCAGACAACATTTACTGCTAACGATTTCATTTCAAAGAAGAGATGCATTGGATATTTTTGGCTCATGATAAGTGTTAGGCTCCTTACCTGAAAGGATCATTGGCCCATTGGACGGTGTTAGCAACAACATAGTTTCCAAATGCTTTCATGGCTGTTCAAAGACATGCTAATTTTAAATTTTAAATATGATACAGTATAAAAAAAAACAAAAAATAGCATAAAATTTTAACATATATAAATTTAATAAAATAAATATTTTATATTTAATGTATTAATATAAATTATGATAAAATAATTTTTATTTTTATTTTTTACCTATATTTGAAACGAATCATACATGGCATTATTACACAAAGTCTTGTGCGCAATTTACCCCACAATACTCCAAGTACACACTTGGGCTAGTAAGCCTCTTATGTCATCAACCCCTCTCAAATATGCACACGAACTAGAATGGGCATTGACGGGAACAGAAGTGTTATAAACACAAAGTGATTCTTGATATGCTCACTTAAAGGGGAGCTTTAAGAATCTAATCTGAACTTTAGAAATATGCAAAGCCGGGTATATAAAAGATCAGCAGCATGCACTTTTAATCATGAAAATTGCAAAGCTAGAGATATCAGGAAAAGGAAATTTTGTAGTATTGTAATTTGTAAAGGATAAGATTTGTATAAAAGCATGACCAAAGAGTTAGAAAAATACAAGGTACAATGAAAGATAACGCTCACAACCACATACGAAACACTGAATAATTCATTACTAAGAAAATGTTCTTGTTCCTCATGTTTGGCATACCTAAAGCTCTCTGATGTCCCACATCTGCATTTCAAGAAATACATGAACATGTTCCGAAGCATCATCATAAAAAATAGTTGGTAAATGTTCCATAGAAAGCGGATCTAATCATACTCCAATTCATCAGGTGTAACAGGTCGTTTGAGGGGTATGATTGATTTCTTTTCAACATCTCTAGATAATGCTTTCCTCATATCTGAAACCAAACCAGAAAATGGAAGGTAAGAGGCGGAATATGCGGACCAAAAAAGAAAAAACCAACTTACCTAACCCATCCTCCTCTCCTGAATAATAGCGTAGCACCCTTCTGTATATTACATACCCAAGCTGTAAAAAAGAAGAAGGTAATTGAGCCTTTCTTGCATTTATACACATTTTCACAGACACAAACACATGGAGACATGAGAGAGAGAAAGAGAGAGAGAGAGAGAGAATCGTGGATACTGGCACTTTCAGATACATGGTGGTTTCCGTTGAAACAAACTGGTTTAATGGATGTCTTCTAGTCATTAATATTTTTCACGTACACAATATATAGAACCCTCTCCATCTCTCGCACTGTCATCCTATGGAACAATAGAAGCATCCTGGCAAGTTCAAATTTTAGGACATGGTCCCCTACTTGCTTGAGGAGAATGAGAAACATCGTTTTCTTAAATTCAAGCAATCTTTTCGTAGGTGTTTGCTTGGGTCAAACTACAAGTGCACACATCGTACAAGTAAATAATAATAATCTTTTGGTGGTCAAGATATCGTTCCATAGAAATTAGGTAAAGATATTTCCAGACTAAATATCTATTATCACCTTACCATTTTAAAGTTGGCTCAATCACAAATTGAGCATGAAAACTAACTATGAGAATAAAAACAAATAAAGTATCAAAATAGAAACTAGTTAAAATGAGAGAATAAACAAAAACAATAGGTAAAATAAATGCTAAAAACGATGTAAAATATAATAGCTAAACTAAAGGAAATAAAATCACAAATCTCAATTAACAAGACAAAACTAAAACTAAGAACAGATCATAAAACTGAGACTACAAGAACAATGAAAACCGTGGGTGCAAAAACCAACCTAAATCTAAATGGCAACAAGACACATGGAATTAAGCTCAAAATTGCAGAAAACAAGCAAAGATCTAGAGTGAAAACAAGTTTGGAGTTCAAATAAGGAACAAGAATTGCAAAAACTCAAAGAAAAAGTTGAAGCCATAACTGCCAAGCAAAATTTTAAAATCAGAATTTTAAGCTACTGTTTTACATCTAAATTGTACTTGATTAAATGAAAACAAGCTGAAATTTTAAAGATCATTGAAAAAACAACATGAGAAATCAATTTGAAAAGCAAAGGTTGAAGAAAAATTGCACCATTCAATAAAAGAACAATAGAACCATAAATAACAACAGCCATGTAATCCACACTTCGCTCTACTGTTCTAGGTCTAAATGGTGCAACGACAAGTGATCTTGAGCTGGAGTTTTAAAGATCAATCAAGGAACTAAGAGGAAAACTGATTGGAAAAACAAAAAAATGCAAGAAGATGCAAGAGTTAGCTAAGAAAAACCAAAACAGAATTAGAAATTCCATCCTAAATTCACTAAGTTGATAAGAGAAAAATTAGATCTAAAAGCCTATACTCAAAATGAACTTAAACTGAGCTAAAGAACAATTAATCAACAAGTTTACTATAAAATCTAGCAGGAAAATTACAACAAAATATAGAAAAACCAGCTCATTGAACTATCTACTCAAGACCTACACAAAACAGAGAAAAACAGATCAGTAAATAAACAATTCATCCAAACAACCAGCAAACTCATGAATTAAATTGTAACAAAATAAAAGTAAGCAAGTAAACATGTAAATATAAGAGATCAAAGGTTAGAAGAAGCAAACAAATCGCCTAGAGGAGAGAAGCTGGATTGCACCTCTTTCAGATTTCCACTGTAACTTGCAAGAATTAACTAGAACGATTGGGAATAAATTTGAAGCTGAAATTTTACTATATTGTAATCTAATGAAATATGAAACTATGAAAAAAAATTGGAGCAAAAACAAGCAAGAAATTAAAGAGTTTCAAACAAAAAACTGGGAAGAGGTCAGGTGCATAAATTCAAATCCAGATTTGAGATCAACAAGAGATCATAAGAATATGAACAGTAAATCAATAGAATTTGCAAAATTCATTGCCAAAATCTTAAAGAACATTGAAAAAGACTTCAGGAAAGTGAAAATTATAACAAAAATCAATTGGAAAATTGGAACTAAAGACTGTTTGGCAAGTAAGAAAATACAGGAAAAAGAAATGCAGAAAATTAAGGAAACAAAAAATGTAAATCCTAACCTCAAGTCTACCAAAATGGCCAACTCTCCTCCTATTTGTAGGCAGGTAAGTGGTCCTTAAACCTCAAAATATCTCTCCAAAATATCTAAAAATGAGGGGCCTTCCGGATCCTTCTTTTCTCCTTGTTGCATCACTTGTTGCAAAATTGTTTTGACGTGCTTATGTTATTCACTAGTTGCAATTTGATTGCACTAGAATTTTAGTATTTTCATGCTCATTTTTAGTGCAATTTTTCTTATATTTTGGCTTATTCCTTGAGAAATTGTGGCAAATATACTCCTAAATACACATTTTTCTCATGTATATGTAAAAATAAAGAAAATGAAAAATTTTGGACAATTTGGACTCAAATTAGAGGATTTTTTATGATGAAAGCTAGCAAAGACCACAACTAGTGCCATTACGGTACTCTATTTCAAGCCTTATTTCTCATAATTTTCATTTAGAACGATCTTCCTTAGCTCAAGCTTGCATTAGTACCTTTCTGGTATCTTTATATATGCTTGAAAGGTAAAATGCATTATGGAGATGGAAGTGATTTTTAGTTGATTAAATTTCAGAATTTTGCCAAGATTTATAATGTCAAGATTGTTCTTTCAATGGCTGGAATTGTGGCAGCAAAATGAAGAAAACACCATCTGTATTAGGCACCAAAATGAAGGAACACAATGCAACTTGAGCCTTTGGATGCATGGCTAGGTGATGGATGTAATTGGCGCCACTTCTTGGAGATTCAAAGGAAGCTTTAAGGAGCTGATGACTTCACATTATGTAAAGCTCTTATTGGCCATAATGTGGACTTTTTTGGAGTGACAAAAATGCATGATGGAAGTCACAACTAGTGAAGAGTAAACACATGTCAAAATAATTTTGCAATAAGTGATGCATAAAGAGAAAAGAAGGATCTAGAAGACCCATTTTTTCTAGATATTTTGGAGAGATTTTTTGGAGTTTAAGGCACCACTTATCTTGTTGATCTCAAATTTATATTGAATTCATGCACCTGGCCTCTTCCTAATTTTTTGTTCGAAACTCCTTGATTTTTTGCTTGTTTTTGCTCCAATATTTTTCATAGTTTTATAGTTAATTAGGATACAACTTAGTAAAATTTCAACTTCAAATTCATTCCCAATCATTCCAATTAATTCTTGCAAGTTTGGTGAAAATCTGGGAAAGGTGCAATCCAGTTCATGTGATCTAGCTTGAGAGTGATTATTTTCTCTTCTAGACAATTTGTTTGCTTCTTTTAACCTTCGATCTCTTATATTTACATGTTTACTCACTTACTTTCATTTTGTTACAAACACAACTTAAGACTCGTCATCAATCTTTTTATTTAGGGGTGATTGGCCTAACTGCGATTGGCCTAGCCTACTAACTGAATATATCCCCTTTTAAAGAGAAATTCTAAACTAGACTCATGTCCCTTAAAATAGTACATAGTCTACAAAATCAAAATGCAATGGTAAATAGTCTACAAAATTAGAATGGATTCAGGAGTACAGTTACATGTAAGAAAAATTATAAAATTCCAATAATGCCCACTCAAAGAATGATACCAGTTGATTTTGTATTTTCTAAAATCTTAAAAGATTTTACCAAATAATCTAATATTGAAAATTGTCCTATAATTACTCTAATATGTTGGTAATAATTTTGACACATTCCCTCACCTCAAGGAGTATTCAAAAAGCCTATTTGTCACACTTGAATAGGGTCCATAGTCAACTTTATTAATTTTTATTAAAAAAAAAACTTTTATTCATAAGAAGTAAAAATTTTCGTGAGAATTTTTATGTTAAAATTTTTTTCTAAATTCTGTAATATGTGAGTAAAATTTAAAAAGAATTTCTCACCTAAAAATTTGCATGGAAAATACTTATTTGCAATGTTATTAGTAATTTCATCATCAAGGATTCAAAATCAATTTTTATTTTTGGAAAACATCTTTCAATATATTAGTAAGATTTAAAAAAAAAAAAACCTCCAATATTGTTAGGATTTCATGCAAATTATTTTACTTTCCAAAATATATTAATTTTTTAAAATTAATTTTTTAAAATTAATAAGATTTTTCAATATATTAATACAATCATATTTAAGCCATTTTAAAAATTACAAAACCTTATAATATGTTGGTAAAGTTTTTATTTTTGGCTTTGTTTTAAAAATTCTTTTCAAAACTTCTAACCTTCAATAGATAGTTAAGATTTTATTTTTCCAAAAAAATTTCTAAATTTCAAACCTTCTAACATATTGGTAAAGTTTTTTTATTTTTGCAAAATTCTTTTCAAAATTTCAAACCTTTCAATATATTGGTAAGGTTTTATTTTTATTTTTCAAAAATTATTTTTTTTTAATTTCAAAACCCTCCAATATGTTATAAAGTTTTTTATTTTTCAAATGTTGTTTTAAAATTATCATACCTTTCAATATGTTAGTAAAATTTTATTTTTTATCTTCAAAAATTATTTTTCTTAAAAAATATTTTTATTTTTAAATAAATAAATAAACAAACTAAAAATATACATAAAATTTTTTACTTGAGTCAACTTAAGAAATAGCTTGGCTCTAGTGTAGTGACTCGGTTCGACTCAACAATTTGGCTCGACAACACAACTCAGTAGTGGCTCAACAAGTGATGGAGCAGTGGCACGAGTTAGATGCTATGGATCTGGTCAGATTGCATTGACACTTGAAAATTGAAAATTGTTGTTGGAATCTTGAAGTATCATTGGAATCCTATCAAGAACTTCAATGCTCATTGAAAAATGTCACTGCAATATGAAAATCTTGCCGAGCCCTAGAAATCTCACAAGAAAATCACCGGGAACTAAAAAAAGCCTAAAATTTGAATTTGAACTTTCTAAAACTTTTCTAATTTCAAATTCTCCTGTTAATAAGTAATGAATTTTTGGGTATTTATAAGAACTTAATCTTGGTTAAATAAGGACTTTATCTCAATCAAAGATTATTTTAAAAATTATCTTTAAAATAAATCTTAGAATCTCATCCACATCTTCACCCATTTTTCAAAATCAAACTTTTTAGATTTTATCAGCACATTATGTATCTAACGAAGAAATTGATCTTGATACAAAATCTTCGAATTGAAAGAATCCCTATCCTTTAAGAATTCAATCTCACCCATACCCTTTTTCAACTCTTTTCATTTTTTTTTTAGTTTCAAAAACAAATAAAAATAAAACAAAGTAAAGATAATTAAAAAATAAATAAAGATATATAAGAAATAAATCACTAAATAAAAATTACTAGTGAAGAAAAATAACCTATAAAAATAAATAATAATAAATAATGAAAAACTTCAAATAATAAAAGGAAAATTAGGATTTTAAGTTTAGACTCAAATTGGGTCCAAATAATATAAAAAATCCATGTCCCCAAAAGTAACTCCGAAATTTTAAAACCGGACAAAATTAAGTATTTACAACCCCTATTCAGTCAAGAGATCGAATTTATTGTAGAAACATGAGTTTAATTAGTCAATTTATTAGTGAACAAGGAAAAATCTTATCTATGCAAGCAAATAGATTGACCTTAAAACAATAAAACCAAGCCAAATCAACATGCAACAATGCTATGACACAATATTGGCAGAGTAACTCACAGATGAAATGAAAATGAGAAGCAAGGTGGAGGTATGAAACATTTTTCTGAGAAAGTTGTGCACCATTCAGTAAATGCAAATTTTATGGTATGAGCAGAAAATAGGTAGTTCTATTTGCCACCACATTTTCCGTTTAAGTACCCCTAACTGGTCTGAAAGTAACTATGAGTGAGTGATGAGAAACAATAACAGTGAAGTAAAGGTGATTGCGATTTTCTATTCAAACGGCCTTTAACCAATTCAATACAGTTTGGATAACTTGTGGACAAAAGAAAGAGTTTTGCAATTAAAATGACCCAGAAGCAGCAGACTTATTTGAAGTGAGTTCCCAACACTTCCTTTCTGCTACCATCTAAAAGGGAAGCATAGATAAAATGCAAACAATTCCTAAGTTTTAAGTACAGCCAACATTTTAATCAAAATCTAACAAACAGGAGCAGATTTTTAATTCAACAAAAGGGAGTTCTAGAAATTCAACCCCTACCAAAAAACCAGTTCCCTTGCTACACAATAAATTATTAAGCAGCACACAAACTGTCCAGCATGTAAGTAGTGGTTATAACAAAATATAGTGTATGATGAAATAGATTTGTAGAGAAGAAAGAAAAGCAGCATTCTAATTTAGAAATTACCTAATAATAATGAATCCAAATTTAATTTAGAAAATGCAAGGAATATTTAATAATATTATATCCCAAGTAGAAAGGTTAACTTAAAAAATTATCTCCTCCCGTGGCATCTGAGACATAGGCCAGAATTTTTTGAAAACAAGATGCAAGTTAACATCAAAGAATGGAAACAGAGGGGATGGTTCACTTGAGAACATATTGAAGTAATGCATATATGGCTGTCTCCCCTACAATGTGAAATAGAAAAGTTTTAATCATTATAGAGTAGTAGTCCAAGTTACTTTTAATTCACAGCTTAAAGATGATACTTCTCATTCCTCCTAATATTATTTATCAAAAAGTGCTATCAATTACATTTGGGGATTCAAAATATAAAATTAAAGTGAGAGAATTGAAGATTGATATTCTTCATGAAATACTCTTTTTCTATTACATTCGTTTCTTCCGGAAAAGAAAATAAAAGGTAGCAGAGAGTAAAAGAAATAGAAGATGTTCGGAATTGTAAATAAAGTTCTGCAAGGTATGCAATTTACAGGAAATGCAAGTTTGTGTGACGGGCAATTTACCGGAAATGCAAGTTTGTGTGACGGGCAATTTACCGGAAATGCAAGCGCACGTGATGGGACATTACAAGAAGTGCATGTCCATTTGTTTAGGCAGTGGGTTGTGATGAATGCCAGGTAATTGGATGTGGCTGAAGGATTACAAAGTAATTTTATTAGGGATAATAAAATAATTCATTCCAAGGGTAATTTTGTAAAAAATGTGCAGTCATGAGTGAAATTGTGGCAGCAAATAAAATTTTCCTTTATTCAATTAATCAAAATGTCAAAAAGCAAACAAGAAAGATTGGATTTAATGGGATTACAATATTCGTGCCATTCTCAAAACCAAAGAAAAAGGTCTAACATCAATCTAATGAGTTAGAAGACCATGAAAAACAATTCTGATTATATAAAATTTTAGAGAGAACTTCAATAAAAGATGTTTTAAAACACATATAATTCTAGTGCAATTTCTTGTTTCTTTTTTTTTTTTTTCCTATTTCTTTCTTTTTCAATGTCTCATACCATGATGAATACTGGTAAAACCATCTATAGTTCTACTTCTAACAGTGAATTCACCCCTGGTTGAGTTTTGTTAAAAATCTCAGTAGTGGAGATAATTTATGAATCTTATTAGCATTTCTTTTATACTCTAAACATCAAAATTTTCAGAACCTCATTGGTGGCATTGCTCCATCCCACTCAATTTGAATATGACTCAACTTGATCAATTCATCCTCTCTACAGCATCAAAAACCAAACTCATCCCTATGGAACATGCACCAGAAACAAATATGCTTACAAAGACCAAAGATTACAAACAAGATCCTGGATTCAACTTACTGTTACCCACTAGTGAAGGATAATGCACAAGGGACAAGCTAGCCATGTTTCACAAACCTCAATTAAACCTTCTCCTGCTTAACATTTTTGTGATTCTAGCAGACAATTCTTAATTCTTATACAAACATAAACACAAGGAATGCTTTATGCACGTATGAGCATATATATATATATATATATATATATATATATGTATGTACACACACACGTACACATATATTAAACTTCAGAATGAGAATGGCTACATGCCAAAATTTGATACACTTTCAATGACAAGGGAAAATAGTGATTGCAAAAACAGGAAAAAAAATCTGAATAACAGAAACATCATAAATCTCAAATTGCATCCATGTGGTACAATCTGAAGGGAAAGCAAGAAGGATATAGTAAATTCCAAAATGCAAGTTGTAGGACTATTACCTTTTCATACATCTTTATGGCTGGTGTATTAGAAGCCCTCACAAAAAGATCCACAAAATATGCTTTATCACTGCCAAAACAAGCTTTTTATTGATAACTGAGGAGAGAACAACAATAAAGACACCAAAAACAAAGCTAGAGAATGCATCAGGAAAACATTATTACTTGGCACACTACTTACTTACAATGATGGATCTTTTGATTCAATTAAAGGTGAGATTGCGTTTAAAAACACTAACATGTATTAAACAAACATATCATCATGCATCATATACAAGTCTGGCTTATGTTTAGATGTCATCAAGACTTGACTATCAGGAGAGTAATTAGCAAGAAAATATTCATCAAGCACGACCTATTAAAGTCAATGTAAAGATAGAAATGCACAGGCTATAAAAAAAATTAAAAATACCCAAAACAAAACCAAAATCCTTTTCAATACATCAAATGAAGCTTAGGACCATGCTTGTGCCAGTACTTCATCTTCAACATTTCAACCAAAAATTATAGCTTGTGTTCAGAAACTTGTATTATTGTCATTAAAGACATCTACTAATAAGCCTTACAACTATTTTAGCAGTTCGTATTAAATAATAAGCAAAGCAGGGCGCAAATTTCTAAAAGGATTAATAAATAAATATTAAAAATTTTAACACTTCGGTAATTTCAAATCTTTTATTCAGCCCTTAAAATGCATGATCAGGGCTAATTGCAGACAAAAGTTACTCAAATAATTGTGCAAATATCCATAATACAAAAATATTCAAAACCAACAAAACCATAAACGTACACCACTCTTACATCTTATCACTGATTTCTTCCAGAAGGTTCATCAGTTTCTTAGCAAGCTGTTGCCTGCGATACTCTGGCGCTACAGTGACTGCTGTTACGTGGCCATGCCAAGACTCACCTTGCCCCTCAACTTTCCCCATAACTGCAACAATTTCAAAGGAATTAGAATCTATATACACAATCGCAAAACAGCACCGTCAATAAGAATCATATCCCTGTTCAAATCAAATCTTGAACATGACCCAACTTCTGAACAACTGTAATTCCAAATTTCCAATTGCTTAAAGTAATACATTAAATATGGAAGGCAATTAACATCAGAATTCGAACCCGATTCTTGTTTTCAAATTATGAGAGTTAAAATTCCTGATTAATAATTACTTCAAAAAGAAAATGGAAAATGAATATAGGAAAGAGAGAGCAGAAAGCCTACTGTAACCCATTATTCGATTGCCGGGGCCTTCAGCTACGTGAAAATAATCGGGCCATCGTGCCAAATAGGTCATGTAGAATGACATATTAAACTGTAAAATTGACAAATATACCATTAATGGAAACGATTGACAACTCGACCCAGCATCGTTTAACTTAAAAAAAAAAATAAAGGGGAAAAGAGTTGAAAAAAGCTTACGGTTTCTGTTAAGTGGTCGAGGTTGACGGAAGCGAAACGAAGAAGATCGTTGCAGCAAAATCGGCGTATCGTCGTCATCTCTCTGTCACGGCCTGCCGGGACCGGAAGCTTAATGAAATGCAGGGCTGCCGGAATGGTGGTTCAAACTTCAAAGGTCAATTACTCTGCGAGTAAAGTAGGTTCTTTGGATATGGGCCAAAAAGAAGTAGGTTTCTTTGGATTCAAACCCGTGGCTCTTAGTTGACTGGGTTGGCCCATTCAAGTCACATTTTTGGTTTGGACTTGAAAATTATATACTCGGGTTCATTTCAATATTCTCCGGGCAGCCAACAAACGAAAGAAAACGGCCGCCCGTATATCCACCCTTAACCGTCATTATCATCTTTATCTTTGTCAAAACTCAGATCAAGCCTCGGAGAAAACCATAATCAAACCCTAGATGGATCTTCTCAAAGAAGAACTTCTCAAGAAGCGGCAGAGCCTAGCTCAGGAGACTGGCGGAAGGCGCGTGTTCAAACGCTCCGAGATTGAACAAAAGCAAATCCAAAAGCTTCGCGAACAAGAAAAACGCGAACTCGAAGCTAAATCTCGCCGCCAATCCACCACATCATCTTCCCCTGCCAACGCTACTTCCGCCAAATCTAAACCCTCGTCTTCCAGCACCGCATCTACGACCGCAACTTCCACCGCCGGTTCCTCTAAATCCCTCACCGATGAACAAAGCATCGATAACCTCGACCTTCCGAGGCAAGAAGTAATCCGCCGCCTTCGCTTCCTCAAACAGCCCATTACTCTCTTTGGCGAAGACGATGCAGCTCGCCTCGACCGGTTAAAGTACGTCTTAAAAGCAGGGCTTTTCGAGGTCGATAGCGATATGACCGAGGGTCAAACCAACGATTTCTTGAGAGACATTGCGGAGCTGCGGAAGCGGCAAAAGACGGGGATTTTGAGCGAGAGGAAGAGAAAGGATAGGGAAGAAGGGGGAGGAGGAGAGGATGGGGAAGGAGGCGGAGGAGAAGAGGAATTGAGTGGTGATGGTGGGTCCAGTGGAGTCGATTTGGATAAGGATTTGAAAAGAATGAAGGCGAATTTCGATGAGTTGTGTGATGAAGATAAGATTCTGGTGTTTTTCAAGAGGTTGTTGAATGAGTGGAATCAGGAGCTGCATGAGATGGGTGAGGCTGAGAAAAGGACGGCGAAAGGGAAGTCCATGGTTGCCACGTTTAAGCAGTGCGCTCGTTATTTACATCCATTGTTCAAGTTTTGTAGGAAGAAGGTAAAGTTATTTTTACTGATTTAAAAGATTGCATTTATTTAATTCTGGTCTTTCTTTTTGTTTTTTCCCCTTATGTTGACGAGTTAGACAGTAGATAGGATTCTAACTAAAAGAATCGAAATTTAACTTGAAACGCCAATGGAATCACTGAGAATTAGATGATTAAAACTAGTCATTAGATCAAAATTGAGGGTCCAAGACTTTTATTTGCAGTAGAAATGACTGTGTCAGAGTTGTGAAATGTTCTGTCTGCTGAATCTAGGGGCTAGATATGGGTGGGATTGTAGAAACTAGAAACTAATGTGTTGAACTGTTATTGCCCTGCTCGTAGCTTATATTCCTGGTATCTTCAAGTCGGACTTCTAGTGATCAAAGTGGTAACTGGTATCTGAATGTTTTTGACATTTTTAGTGGTAATGAAATTCATCCTTGAATTGTTCTTAGGGTCGTCAAATTTTTTCCTAAATATACATTCAAGTAGAGCGCATCATCCACCGTTTTGAAAATTTTTTTAGTATTTCAGGCTGTCAGGATTTGAACCCATTGGAATTAAGAGTCTAGCACTTTACCAACAGACCACATGGTTGTTGGCCATTATTTTGTAATTTATTCCCTTTGAATGCTCAAAATAGCTGCTGGGACTTGGAAGAAAGAAAGATCAAACTATGTATCTACCAACATCAAATCATGTTGGTGATCTGTAAAGTTTATTTATGTTTCTGAATGTGGGTCCAAATCTACTTAAGAGAGTTATGAGCCTATTAATGTGGTCAATAATTTTCTAATAGCAATAACATAAGCAATAGTTAGTTAAGTCCTTATGAAGAACTGTTCAGATGATTTCTGTTAAATGTACAATCAACAGTAATCCTGGTGTTCGAATTAGATTGAGATTCATCTTGTATTAAGGTTTTGTCAGCCATATTGCACAGCCCAATTATTTTGTTTTTACTGCCTGCTTTCTAGTTTGATTTAAAGCCAAAGCATGTTCTGCGGCTTTTGTCTTGGTGGATTGCTTCCTGAGTCCCTGTTGCTGATAAATGAAAGTCACTAAACCTGTAGTTTCTCTTCCATAATTGAACTGGTTTAAGCTCCGAAAGAACATACTGCTTAATTATGATTCCATTCACTTCATACTGTGCTGGATGTTATGAAGTTAAATCACTCTAAAATATGAATTGATGCCCATGCTATGAACATGCATTATTGCCTCCATATTAATTGCATGAAATTGGTTTTATGCAAAGCATTGTAGTTCCTTGTGGTTTTATTACTGTTTTAATGTTTCAAAAGTTGCTTTATTTGAACACCCTTGGATTTTTTTTCTTTTTAATCTATCAAAAATTTAAATGGAGAGCCAACCCTTTATTTTGTTGTATTTTTCTATGTGATATCCACTGTAGAAATGAAAACCAGGGAAGGTGGACTGTGGCAGATTAAAATCTGTGGATGCAACTTTGGTAGCTTGGTGACCAATATAATTGTCGGCCATTACTGGATATTTACTTGACAAACTTTATATCGGCTTTTTAACACTAATTATAAATGATTAGTGGTTCCTTCTCTCTGGTCAAAAATAAAAACAAAGTGTAGACATTGCACTATATCTGGGAGTATCCTCTCTTTTGTGTGTGTGTCTACATTTGCATGCCTATGTTTATGGCTTTTTGCACAGAACTTTGCATTTGTGAGACCCAATATTTAATTTTCACGATCTAATGGCAGGTTCTTCCAGATGATATCCGTCAAGCATTATTGGTGATGGTTGAGTGCTGCATGAAGCGGGACTACCTGGCTGCAATGGACCATTACATTAAGTTGGCCATTGGTAATGCACCCTGGCCAATTGGTGTCACTATGGTTGGTATCCATGAACGTTCGGCCCGTGAGAAGATCTACACCAATAGTGTTGCCCACATAATGAATGATGAGACAACTCGCAAATACTTGCAATCAGTCAAAAGATTAATGACCTTTTGCCAACGACGATATCCTACTCTTCCATCTAAAGCTGTTGAGTTCAACAGCTTGGCTAATGGCAGCGACTTACAGTCGCTGCTAGCAGAAGAGAAGGTTGCTGGCGGTAGCTCCTCAGAGGACAGGCTTAGGTTAATGCCTGCTCCGAAGGAGACCTAGTTATCATTTGCTGATGATGTTTTAGATTGCGATATGCTTTGAATGCATTACTGTTAGGAATACATAATGCAGTGAGCCAGTAAACTCAGGGAAAGCATTGTTTAGAACTTGGCGCCATTGTATTTCTTAGTTTGTCTTCCAGAAGCTTTATTTGAAACTTTTCAACTGTAACATATGTTACATATAATCTGAAAATTTTTAGTTTCTCCTTAAACTCTTTCATTAAACTGTTTCATATATTTGAGCAATGCAAGAGCATTTCAGGCATTTTAAATCGTATTATTATTCCAAGTAGTGGATTATGCAGAGGAAGACTAACATGTTAAGAAAAACAAAGAGAAAACCTAACTGCAGATTACATCTAACAATATGAATATTTATATCCATTTATTGTATGTTAAACATATATAAAATATAAAAATTATCATATTATAATTATTATAAAAGAATCAAATATAAAATACATATTTTTATTTTTATTAAAGCTATACATAATATTTATTAAAATTTCAAATCATATCATTTATAATTTTTTTTTCTATGATATTAACTATATCATATTTAAAATTATTAACTTTATTGATGGTTCATTCTCTTCAATATAGAATAAGGTATACTACTTACTAAAGCATATATACTGTGTATATTAAATTATGGGATATCAAAAGAAATTTGTGGGATATCAGAAAAAGCGAGAACTAGGCTTAGGTAGGATCAAGCATCAAAATCAAGCCTCCTATTGGTCCAAGTAATATCATCTTATCCATAGATCTAAATCCAAATACCACCGGCCATTTACTTTCATGATCCTTCACACAAAATCTCCAAGCCTAGCTCCACCATAAACATCGGCAAAAGCAAACCCGGACTGTAGCTCATACATCCATCATCTACATCCCATGGCAACTCAAGCAGGTCTCTTCACCCCCACAATCATCACCCCAAAATCTCTGGCTCCATGGAAACCATCCCCATCATTTTCATTCGCTACCCCCAAGTCCCTCAACTTCTCTATGGCTCAGAGAACCATTAAGGCTGCAGCTGCAGATGAGGCTGCCACAAAGGAAGCTCCGGTGGGTTTCACCCCTCCAGAATTGGACCCTAACACCCCATCACCCATCTTTGGAGGAAGCACCGGAGGACTGCTTAGAAAGGCCCAAGTTGAAGAATTCTACGTCATCACATGGGATTCACCCAAAGAACAAATCTTTGAGATGCCAACCGGCGGAGCAGCCATCATGAGGCAAGGACCTAACTTGCTCAAGTTGGCCAGGAAAGAACAGTGCTTGGCTCTCGGCACCAGACTGAGGTCTAAGTACAAGATCAAGTACCAGTTCTACAGGGTTTTCCCTAATGGTGAGGTTCAATACCTTCACCCCAAAGATGGAGTTTATCCTGAGAAAGTGAACCCAGGTCGTCAGGGAGTGGGGCTGAACTTCAGATCAATTGGGAAGAATGTCAGTCCCATTGAAGTTAAGTTCACTGGGAAACAAGTTTATGACTTGTAAGATGAGATACTTGGGAGAGTGCTTAGTGAAAAATGATGATGTAACCAGGATTATGTGATTATAGATCGATGTGTCTGTTAATTGTTTTATGTACTTTCCTTTTCTCTTTTTCCTACTGGCCATTGGCCTCCTGTATTTCATCCATTTTGCAAGGCTTATATATGAAATGTTTGCGGAAGTGCTTGATGATTAAATTAACTTCAGTACTTTTTTTTTTTCAAATAGTATTCTTTCTTAAGATCTTCACCATATTTGATAGTGATTTTCATAATAGATTAACTATTTGAGATTAACTTTTTTATTTTAGATAAATTATATTTTGATTATGTTTTGATCATAAGAAATATTCATTTCTTCGTTTTCTTGTATGCTCAGGATCACATCAGTCATATATCTAATCTAGAACTTTAATTTTTCATTTTGTATTTTGGTGTGACTTCAATTCAGATCTTTCAAAAAATATTACGAGGGGAATTGCTCTAGCATTGGATGGATCAACAGATGAATTTGAAGGTGAAAGAGGTAGAGATGCATTTTGGTTGATGGTCTTGCTGGAAATCCTGGAATATCAACAGCAAATGGTCCAAATAACAACATTATTAACTCTGATATTAAAGACTATATTGTTAAACATGTCACTGACAAGATAGAATATGTATGGGATATCTAAGTGTAACGAAGTCATTATTTTCTGTCCGTAAAATTAGTTTATTGAGGTATGCAGTATTTATATTTATGTGTATAATGACCTTTCATTTTTTATCTGATGTGAAATTGAATTATCATGAAACGCATGGCATAACATTTTCCTCCACTCAGTATCATGATGTTTCCGTCACATCTATCACTCTATCTACTCTTCTTTGAAGCATTTTGATGGAGTCAGATTCTATCACTGTACCTTATCCTAACACCTTAGTAAGTGACCTGATTGACCCATCCTACTCACTTCTATTGAGATGCTTGTGTAGAGTGTCTCGTGACGTCGTTGTCATGACTATCACCTTTTCTACTCTCCTTTGAAAGATTTTGGGGCGGTCAAACTCTGCTACTCTATTTTACCTTAGCACTTTGTCAAGTAGCTAGGTTAGCCTACTTTGTTTGCCCTTACTAAGACACTTGGTGTGGAGTTGAATAAATCAAAAGTTGATTTTAATACTAGTAATTATTTTTTTAACAAAATTAATTTATTAAAATATATAATATCAACGTTTATATATTTAACAATTTTTTTTTATTTTATTTAAGATTAAAATATTTTACTCTCTTTAAACGTTTGACATAACATCAAAAAATGCTTAAATTTAAAAATAAAAATAGCCATGATGATCAATTTGAAGTTTTAATTGGAATTTAAATCACCTTAAAATAGAAAGATTGAGGGTTTTTTTTTTTTTTTTGAAAGGATCCTCTCTTGCATTTGCGTGTTCGATATTCTAAATCACCTTTAATTCACATGGTACGCAATGCATGGATTGGAAGGATTAAGGAAATCTACTGCCATCATATTTTTAAGCATGCTTGCGAATTATTAAGTCTCATGTTCCTCTTGTGTGAGTCATCAAGGTTTTAAAGGCTATCCTGAATCTGAAAATTGATGCACAAAACTTTGATATCAGGTTTTCTACCAAGAGGTAGCAAAGAAAATTTTCAAACTATATAGTAAGCCATAAGAGGCCAAAATACATAGCCGGGGGTCGAACTAAAGATGATAAAATAATTTATACTTAACAAATTTTGATTCCTTGCTATCAATGAATTTTATTAAATTAGTATATGATTTATTTAAAAAAATTAGAATTGGATTAAAGCTGCAACAGGCCCGCTGGATCAGATTTAAACAGTAGAAAGGAGAGAATCAAACAGAAATTGTGAAATGTTTCTCAAGCTTTTCAAGCTTCTAATTTACTCCGCATATTCTAAGCAATAGCAAGTGGTGGCGCTAAAACGCTAGCTGCGCACCGTATCCTGTGTCAAATTTTCAAACGATGGTACCTTCTTAGCCTCCGCCTCCCTCGATAAAACCTAATTATTTGGTCCACGTCGACCCTCTCCCTCCTCCACCGCCTCGTTGGCCACTCGAATGGCGTTTCGGACCTTGCCTGGTCATCCTTTGTTTACTTCCTCGAAGAAAATCATTTGAAGAAGGGAGCATACTTTGTTTACTTCCTCGAAGAAAATGATTTGAAAAAGTGAAATCTGCTTAGTTTTTGCTGGTGTGAAATTAACGTCTTCATTTCGTAAGACATAACTACAAAATTTGAATACAGCCCGAGAATAAGCAAATCATTGATTCTTCCTCGTACCAAACACATCTTATATACCATTCATCACCATCTCTGGCCGCTCCGCTATCATGTCCATATAAGCCTGACAGATGAAAAGGTAAACTCTTCTCATTTCTCACTAAATAAAACAGACACTGAAAAATAGCATGTTTTGGATCCAATGTAAATTAGGTTGACTAAGCTCTTACAAAATCCACGCAACCCATTGTTTGTAAATTTTTTTTCTTTTTTGGTATTTGAGATTGTAAAATTTGAATCCTTTATCACTAAAATCCAACACTTTATCAACAATATTGCAGCATTTTCAGATGCCTTAAAGTCAAAACCATGGTCATTTTCAGATATGAAACTCCATCCTTTTTTAAGATGTAGTCCACTAGATCTTGGCTTACACATCATGAACCAACAGAACTTTAGCTTTATAGGTTTAATTCTAAAAGATGTTTATCGGAGTTCAACCGCAAGAAAATACATCAATAAAAGAAAGATTGTAAATCATTTTCCATGCCATCCAAATATCTTCAAAAGTTGAAGATAACAGGAAAAAAAAAAAAGTAGAACCAAGAATGTGTAGCTTAGGATAAGAATGTAGGAAGATGTACTACCATGTGCATATCCCTAAAGTTGGAACAGCTGTGACCACAAGTGAGTGCAAAATTAGCCAACTAGAGGCAATCACCAACAAACCCAGTAAGGCAAACGGAATCGTATTCGAGAGATAGGTAGTTGAGATAACCATCCATGTACTAAACGACACCGTTTTCGTCCAAGAATACATACTCATTCCAAAAGCCACCGTTTGGATCGAAGCTTTGAGGAGGAAATGGGAAAAGTAACAGCGTTATAAATATGTGTTTCGCCTTTTCGGAGCAATGTGATGGGATGATTTCGATGCTGCATAGACTGAAAGTTATTTTTAATACGTGACATTTAATAAATATAAAATTTATATTTTAATATTTATAATTTTTTTTCTTAAACTCTTATTTATGTAAAAATATTCTTGAGAAAGGGAATAAAGATGATAGCGTTCCCATGTTTTTTCGAAACAATTAAAATTTTGGCTAAAATACTTTAAAAAATTCTTGAGTTATTTTTTGTAAATAGATCTTTATATTTTTTTTATTCAAATAAATTTTTATATTTTAATTTGTATCCAAATAAATTTTTATTTAAATGAAAAAGTAATTTATGTTAAGAGTTTATTTAATACAAATTAAAAATTTAAAGACTTATTTAAATAAAAATTAAAGATTAAAAATTAAGAAATTATTTGAATATAATAAAAACATAAAAACTTACTTAAATAAAATTATAAATTTCAATGATTTTTTATTATTTTAACCTAAAATCTTCTTATCCGGGACAATTATTGATTTGAAAATATAAATAAACGATGACGTCTCAAGAGGTTTTCAGCCTATTTATGCACTTCTTTTTTTTTGTTAACAAAAGGAAATAATTTTCGTCTGCCTTTTATGTTGCTTCAAGTTTTACTATTAGTAAATTGGTTGAAGAAATTTTGATCATACTTTAAGTTAATATTTGAGATTCTCGTAAATTAAATTTTAATTATTAAAAATACAATATTCTATTATTAAATCACATAATTGTTGATAGAGAACAAAACCCTAGTACAAATAAGGGAGAAGAAAGAAGCTTGACTCGAAATTAGACCTTTGATGTCTCCTCAAACTTCTTTAGCCACTAAATCAAAAGCTTGAGAACAAGAGGTTTGAATTAAAACCTTAAAAGAGGAATAGAATTTAAGCCATGTTACATCATTGCCTATAAATAAAATTGGCTAAAATATTAAATGAATTTATAATTTTTTGTTGTACTTAAATAAAATTTTAATCATCAATTTATATCTAAATAAGTTTTTATTCCAATCAAAAGATTAACTTTTGTTACAATCAATGCCAATTAGATTTTTTTTTTTTCACATAGAAATTGATATAACATGATAAGGTGGCTTAAAATTAAAATTATAAATAATTTTTTAAAATTTTTAGTTTTTTATCTATGTCAAAAATATATTTTTTCCAATTTCAATTTTAGTACATATCAAAAAATCAAGACAGTGTTAAGTGTAACTAAAATGGACTCTTTGCTTCAAGCCTTATTTAAGATGATGATTAAAAGTCTATTTAAAATTAAAAAAAAAAACATATAAAATTTTTTTTTGTTATTTCAGCCAATAAAATTCTAAAGGTAACTTTTTACTGATTATTTATTCAAAAGATAATAATCCATAACTAGAAGAAAAATATATAGTAGTACTCAAATCTCATTACCCTTTTTTTTAGAACTAATCTCATTATTTCAATGTGGTAATGTATCATTAAATATAAAAATTTTAAAAATTGAAAATATGGTAGTGTTTTGACAATCTATCCTTGTTTTGCTTCAGGTTAACAACATATTTGTTTCATAACTTTTTCAATATAAATGAAAATACATATTTACAAAATAATATTTAATTGTTTACAAATCAATGAATTTATTCAATGGAAATTTTATTGATTTATAAATTAAAAATAAAAATTAATTTATAATGATTCAAGATCAATAACTTATATTTTTATAAGTTATTGAAACATAAAAAAATTGACATATAACCATCTTGGTTTGATTTATATATATTTATATTATTTAATAGATATATTAAACTTAAATTATATTAAATATTAAATACATTCTTTCATAATTAATTGGGTTCGTGAATTAGTTAAACTATTCATGATGTAATTTAAATTTGATTTATGATTATTTATTTTATTTTTTTGTAAGAAAAAAAATTTAAGATAATCGAAATAATTTCAACAAATAATCATCAATAGAATTCAAATTCAAAACTTTTTTATCAATGAAAATGAACCTTAACCTCGTTTGTTGGTTTAAATAAATATCAAACATTACTTGTTAAAACAAAGAATAAATAGTAGCATATCCAATTTCAAATTCCAGCCCTAACGGTACAAGGACTCCTAACCTAATTTCTTCGCTTACGATATTGTAGTTAAGAGTATCACAATTTTTTCCGCCACTTTTGCATTTTTTTTTCTTTCACTTGTCCATGATTGTCGTCTTTTAACAGTCTCGATTTCTCTGTTGAAACAAAAAAAAAAGATTGTGCGTTCAGGTTGGGAATCATCAGCAGATCAGAATATGGATTTAGAAAGGGAGATTGAAAAGCTCAGAAAATATCTGCAACGCGTAACAACATCTGCACCACCACACCATGCCCCATCAGGAACACTTCCCCAAAATCATTCGGGCGTACTCCCTGGCCCCCCTGCAGCTGCTACGTGGAGAGGAGATGCCAAAATGGGCTTCATTACCTGGGTTCTTTGAATTTACGAGGAATAAAGATGATTTCGGTGATAACGATTGAGCAACAAGACGGCAATCGAGCTTTTACCTCTAGATGGCAGCCAACTGGTAGAAATTAGGAAAGCAGTCTTGCTCGGACTGCAATCTGGAATACCGAGGCAAGGAATTGGAGAATTGTTTGTTTTGGCCTTCAACCTCAGATGTTCCTGAAAAATGTCTATTTAAAACTCCGTCAGACATTAAATATTCGGATATGGACAACGAGAAATTGGCTGCAACAGCAAGATTGACAATTTCTGGAACAGAACAAGAACAAGCAATAGCGTATTGCTTCTTAGCTACGTCGGTCTTGAGGGTGCTCACCAAATCATCTGAAAACTTTTGCAAGGCGTGGGGACACATACAGGAGGGTCATCGAACGTACTATGCAAGCCAATGCCCGATATCTGGAATTGCACCGAGCTCTGTGGTAATGGAAGCAATTCACAAACAGGTTTTTTTTTTTTAGGCTTTGCTTTGACAGGAAGGATGGATGGACGAGGATGGAAATCTAATTAATCTAATGGTTAAAATTGATAACCACTTTTCTACTTTGTAACTTAACCATTAGATAAATTAGTTTTCCATCATTATCACTTTTTATCCTCCCGGCCAAGCAAAGCTTTAACACTGTCTTTAAGATAACCCTGTATAGACTATTATACTAGCCAATGAGAGGGATAAAGATCCAAGTGTGAGGAGGTTTTTGTACGACATACATCTATCTCACACGGGGATGCATATTCTTTCCGTATTGTTTAGATTGTGTTCCACATCGAATTGTTCTAATGAGACCTTGTTACAGGGAATTAGGTCCAAGGCATACCAGCCACATATAGATAATCTTCAGAAGCTGATTATGTATATTACAGATCCATCAGATGCACATAGAAGGCAGCAATGGAGATATGGTAGAATATTTGACCAGAACTTTGTCTATTTTACAAACCAGATCCTGTCCAAAGCTTGTTGCTATATTGGCATCAGCTTTACAACAAGTAAGGCCTGAAGGAGCAGAATAAACATAACTGAGATAAAACAGCTTGAAGACATTAGTGAGTCTGATAAGGAGGAATGCAAGATTGCAGCAACAGTTCTCGCCAGGATGATTAGAAGTTCAGGACTGAAATACATTTCCTATCTTTGATGTAGTCAGTAAGCTAATGTTTGGTAAGCTGAAAATTTTCAACGACAAATTAAGTAATATTAAGTATTGAATTTTTAGTTTTACTGAATTATTACTGTCGTACTGTTGTTCCTTTGATATTCTACTGAAACCTGAATATATGTATTGATTTTGTTATCAAACGCACAAAAACAATCATTCGAGAACTTACGGAGTAGAATAAGTATGTGTAAGCCACGCACCTCCTTGAAACCATCAAGCCATGAACTCCCATTAGCTCACGTAACATCACGGGACGATTGGCTACTGGAAGCACTTACTAGGAGGTGCAGACGGAAAGAACTTAGTACTTGTAGCATACTATCATGAAACTAAAGCTTTTAGAAATTAAGTTCCACTTGCCTAGCTATTGTAGGGCTCTATATAAGTTTTTGAAGTTCCTTTTACATCTTTTTCTCCCTATAACAAAAACTAAATAAATGCAAAGGAGAAAATATATCACCCCTGCTCCATGCCTCTATTAATATAGTGCATAAAAATATTCATTCAATTTGCATCTATCCCATATGCTCAGGGCCTTCATTTCCAGGATTTATAAGCCTGCAGTAACAGAGGACATGCTTCTTGCTAACATTCATTGTCAAGAAAGAGCAAGTGCGATCTTACAGCAATGCGGCTGCATTTTACAGTCATTGATTTTGATTGCAACTAGATTCTTGCAATCCATTAGTCTCCACAACAGCTCTCAATAGAAATTAAAACACAGGTTTATGTCATAAAAGCAACCAGAGCAATTCATTTATGCTGTTAATATAATATAAGCTGCTGAATAAGAACTGAAAAGGAACAAATGAATCATAACTTCTAGGTTCCATGTACTATATTTCAATCACATATCTGTGAAAATCATAGCAGAAAGTATTTTCTAAATCTCACAAGTGAAAATTTACATTTCTATTCATGCTTCCAAGCATACAATATTAATGAAAAACCAAGACCCTGTACTTGGTGATCTCTAAACTTTTGAGAGGAAGACCATGTCAATACAGATGGATCAAAAATAGACTGACTTGCCCACAATTTCTCAGCAGAGAGGCAAGTTTGAAACATGAAAACAGCATTGCCCATCGCATTGCCAAATAGCCAGTTGTGCACATCCCAAAACACTTCCACTGGCAGTCCATCCACCAAAATGGTATGGTTGCCACGGAACTTCCAATTGAGCCGCTTGACCCGCATCACCGTCTTACCATCAATGCGGATAACAAGAAATGGATCCCTAAGATCGATGGTGTCACACTCGATAATGACATCATGCATCTGTCCCTTGTCATAAAACTGAGCCTTGGCACTATAAAACTTCTTCCCAAAAATGTGCTCTCTCTTTGCAATAAAAACAGCATCTAAATTGAGAGGAGGAGCACTAGTGTCAATCTTCTTGCATGCTTCCTTTTTCAAATCCCCAAGAAGTAACACAATTTCATAGTCAAATGCAACAGCCAAGTAAAATCCTTCAACTGGCTCAGGCCCAGAACCAAATCTAGCATTAGACAAATCCCAACATATATAAATTTTACCAGAATCTACATCTAAATTCTTTGATCCTTTTCTCTTAGAGAACAGCCAGGGTTTTATATCAACTTTACATAAACATTGATTGGTTGAATCATCAATTGCAACATTAAGGCCTTGACCCATCAGATTCTTGGTCCATGTAACCGTAATTAAGCATGAACGACCATGTAATTTACAATGATAAACACAAGTCACCAAGTTTTGAGCAGCTTTAGCTGCAGTTGACGATGATGAATCAGCTACTTGAACACCGTTTTCACCAAAACAAGATGGAAAGTCCCTCATTATAATAACCATAAAGGGCAAAAAAAACTTTTCTTTCTTTTTACTAATTCTCTATACCAAAAGCAAAGATTTTGGTATTCCTTTGCTAGAAAAAAAAAAAAGAAAAAAAGAATGAATAATATCACAATAGTCCTACCTCAGATAATTGATGATGAGCTCAAAAACCCACTTCCAAAAAGACCTTCAAAACTTAGCTTCTCAATGCTTCAGTTTAATCTGGGTGTCTCGTTTTGGACAGCCTAAGATTGTAAACAAGTGAGAGTAGATAGAGAGGACTTAGATTTGCTTTCTTGTCAATGTCTGTTTCGAGCCCTCAGGAACGGCCAAAATATTTATTTTAATAAAAAAAATGAAAAAGAGACATTACAGAAACACACACAGAAAAACAGCTAAAGAGAGAAAGAGTTGAGTCGCATGGGAGGGGAGGGGAACTGGGGAAGGGGGCCAAAAAATCAAATTATGGAACTCGAAAGAAAACGGCAACTGGGGTATTCGTTGGAAAAAGGCTGGGTTTTTATACAACATTACACAAAAGGGTGGGGTCTTTCATTCACGTATAGGCATTTTATTTATTTATTTATTTATTTTGTGAATTTTGTTGTTTTCTACTTCTTTTTCTCCATTCCTGTTTCACTAGCAGAAAACTAGTTTTTTCTTCTTTCTTGTCCATAATTAAAACAAAAGTAATTGACCCTTTACTTTAACTGACATTGCACATGCTGTCATTACAGAAGGAAAAACAATCCAAAGCTTAGAATCCAAAAACGCCAATTTTTTTTTTTTTTTTGAAAATCTACATCACCAATGGACTTTTACGGGTTTTTTCATTTGTACATCGCCCACCCAATCTTTGTCAGATAAGAGGGAAGATAATTACATAGCTGGATATCATAAAAAAAAAAAAAAAAAAAAAAAAAAAAGAAAACGAGATACTTATCCCATAAAGAAAATAAAAGGATGACATGGACTAATGTTGAGAATGAATTAATTGTTAGAATTTTTTAGTGAGTTATTATTAATTAGTGATTTTATAGTTTAATAAAATATAATGATAATTTTAGTTCTAATGCAAGATAAGTATTAAAGTTTAAATAATTAATTATGATTAGTTATGTGTTTTTAACTTTTATTAAGTCGATGTGGTTTGATAATTGTATAGGTTTTTGACCTGATAAATCTTTGATTGGGAGATTTCTAAGATTTTAATAATATTTGGTTAATATTCCCTCTTCATTTCTATGTAATGTTGTATATCCATTGAGAGTCACCAATAAAAGAAGAACGAAGAGAAAAACTTAATTTCTTCAGAAAACTATAGTTGTTTTCATTTATCAATTATGTATGCATAAATAGGTATACAATATAATTAAATTTGACGTTCTAATATTCACATATAGTATCAGAGACTTTTTATGTGAAATTAAGACCCAAATTTATTATTTTTAAATTTTAATTTTATATCAAATCAATTTTTAAAAAAAACTTTGTGACTGTTGCAATCCAATTTTTTGATCTTATTTATCCAAAATTAATTTAGGATTTTTGTTCTCCTCTGTGAGAGAATTAAAATTATGTATAGAACGTTTCTTAATTCATCTTATAGAGAGAAATCGAGATTTAAATATTTGAGTTCAAGATTTGAACAATTTCAAGATTTAGTTAAAACCTTGATATTTTATGTGTTTTAATCAAAATAGGTTAGTGAATATTGTTACCTATGTGTTTTAAACTTGAAACATGTGTTTTAGTTGCATGTAATTTGGGTTTTAATTAATTGATTATGAAAAAACCGTAATGAAAAAATCATGGTATGAAACCTAAATTATTTTTATTTGATTAAGTTTGATTCATGTTGTTTTAATGTGATTTAATGCATGGGTTTAGTAAATCTGTGTTAATTAAAGTTTAAAACATTTAATTGCATCCAAAATCAAAGAAAACCATGAAAATTTGAAAAAAGCTTAAAATGGGTTAAATATGGGTTTAAAAATCAAGTTTCTTTTGGTCAATTGATCTTGTTTTTATTGTTTTTTATGAGCTTTTTCACATAGGTTTGATAAAACAATAGCTTAATTAAGTTTTAGAAACTTTAATTTTATGAAAAACACAAGAACAAAAAATCAAAATTCAGCTTAAAACAAGAACCAGACCTGAACGGTTCAGAGTAAAATCCAACCAAGTCAGGCTAATCCAACTAGAGATTGAAAATAACCTCCGAACAAACATATGACAGTATACTCACGGCTAGTGGCACATGTAACTTACCCCGGTGATCATTTTCACTCTAGTTTCTTCTGTCCTACTTGAAATTTTATTTCTAATTTTTATAATTTTTTTGTAATTTTTTTATTACATGAAATATTTATTATTTTATATTCATGCATAATTCATTAATTTTTATATGTTATGCACATGTCTTCTTAAAAATTATTTCATGATAAAATATTTTGACATGTTGGGAGTCCATTGGAGGCATATACTCTTCCCATATGTTATTTAAATTTTACATACTCTCAACCTGAAGTTATGTGCTTAATTGAATAAATTAAGCAAATTTTATTTTACTAATTTTTAGACTTTTGTTTAAATGCAACATGGATTGTTAAGGCAATTTGGATTTAAAATCCACGAGGTTTTGGTACCACTAGTATTTTATTGGTTTTTTTTCATAATTAGATAATATTAAATCATATTTATTTGAAATAATTGGAGTTTAAAATTTTTGTCTTGATTTAATTTTCCAATGACAATTTTAGAGTTATGTGTTATCATTAATTTGTGAAATTTATATTGTAATAAATGATACATAAGAATAAATTATGGATTTAATATAGATTTATTCATGAATTTCAAGACACTTGGATTTTGAATGCAAAAATTATTTGTTGATCTAAAGAGACACATTCGGTTTAAGTATCTCACAAGGAGCAATCATATCTATAATGATCCATCGAGATACACATTGATTATTAATGTCTTACATAGAGTAATCGACTCTTTAATTACCTAAAGAAATACATTATAGTTAGGTGTCTCGCAAGGAATAGTCAAAATGCATGTGTCACGGTCCATGAGAAGTATAAAAGGAAGTTGATCATGAATTATCAATAAACCTAGAATTGATTCTTCCCGGGTCGATGTCTGAGCGATTAATGGGGACAGATTGTAAATTCGTTGGTAATATGTCTACGCTGGTTCAAATCCAGCTTGGCCCAATAATTTGCTAATCTACCATAACATAAAATGCCTATTTTTTTGTATTTTGTTTTTCAGAAAAGCCAAACAAAAAAATTAGAAAAGAATAAAAAAGTCTAATTTTTTGATATATCCATCCCTACATCGGATAAGTCCATTCTTTGGTCCTAAAGTCACACGTGTTGGAGCGTGAGTCTTGGCCCATGACACATGTACTTAGCTAAGTATGCAAGAGTATAATTATAAGCAATCTTAGTTTTTTGGTGTGAGAATATAAAATTGGTTAATATGGGTGTTTACAATAGTAGATCTTGACTTTTTATTTTGGAGGGGCCAAATAATATTATATATAGTTTTAATTTTTTTTCAAAATGAAATAGATGAATAAAGAAATAAAATGCATCAAATAAATAATTATATTTAAAATTGTGAGTAATTATTTTTAAAAATATATAAATAAATCAATTGTTAAATAATATATTTTTATCAAAAATAAGAAAAATAAAATACACCATTAAATGAGTAAAGTTGAAAATTTCAAATTATAAGTTAAAATACTTTATAATCTTTTATAAATTGCTTTCAATCTTACTTTTTTATAAAAAAAAATTTGCATGACAACAAAGAAAGAGATTTAATGTAGAATATTTGAAAGTAAACAATTATATGAAAAAGAAAATTGTAGTCTCCAAAAGGAAAAGTAAAACATGTTTCAAGATTTGAAATCTTGTTGAATTAATCAAGTTATAATATAATAAATTAATTTTAAATTTTTATAATAATGAAATGAAAATAATAATCATAATACTAAATTAAATTTAAATTTTAAATTTAAATTCAATAAATAAATATAATAAAAAATTATCTAAACCAATTAAAAGAATATTAAGTAAGAGAACTTAAAGAAAGGAATGTGAGCGCAAATTTACAAGTCTTGGGATAATAAAAACTGCTAATAGATTTCATAGAAAGTACATAGTGGTCAAAACAATATAAGCAATTTTTTGATTTGGTGTCGAAAATACATGAAGTTGCAGTATAGATACTATGGTTTTTTAAAACTTTTGGGGAGGCCTATAACTCCTATTATGGTTCACCCTTAGGTGTTTGGTTGTCAAAATGACTCACTTATTGAGATTTATAATATTTTCCCATGCGAAAGAACAAAAGTATTTTCAAATTATCTTATACAATAGCTTGTTCAAAAAGTGTTATTGTGTTTGGTACTTTGGAGTTGACATGAAGTATTATAGTTGAGAGTATACTAATTTAGACTTTTTGAAAACTAAAATATTTTCATATTGGCTTCATGTAAAAAGTGTCTAATAGCATGTCACATTCTCTGCCCAAAAGAGAGTTTGTGATAATGCACTTGGTTTTTTCAGTTTAATTACAAACAACATATCATGAGCTAGTGTTATTTATATGGATTATTGTTCATATGTGAAAAGTCGTATTCGTTTGTCTTGAATATTACAATTGGTTTTGGTGATAAAGATTAAATAGCTCTAATTAAAAACGATAAAGGGTGATCTAGAGCTTAATTAAGTCATAGGTATTTTCTTGGATTTAATCGTTAAGTTTTGAATATTCTTATTGATTATTATTTGATTATTAAAATGTTACATTTTTTTATTATAAAATATTATCTAATAATATGAATCCATGAAAATAATTGTCACATTCATTATCAGTAAGTTTGTTATATTGCTTTGTTCTAATATATCATTATTTAAAAAATTGACTTTATGAGCAATCATGTTTATGTAAAATGTGACATGTGTAATTAAGCTTGATTATTTAAGAGCATATGTTATGTGTGATAAATATGTTTAGCATGCTTACAATGTTTTTAATTTTATATATCACATAATTGTGATTTGAAATTTTAGCCATTAAGATTAAAGTTAATAAAGTGCATAATGTGATATATATTTTAGAAATTTTATTTTTCATAGACATATAAAACAATATTATTGGCTATAATGATTTATGAAAATCAACTTTATTTTATGTTAGTCTATTGAAATAGTGGGAGAGTATTGTTGTTAAAATTATGCAATTATGTTATGAAAAATAACATGTGTTAAATAATTGTATAGGGAATTTATTTCACATAAATTATTAGACTAGCTTGTAAAATCTTTTACTTTTACAAAATACTTACTAAGTCA